CAGATTCTTTAACTTCCATACCAAATATACTGGCTTCTAAATTTGGTTCTTCGTTGCAGAATCTTTCCACTCAGCACATACTCCAAAAAGGACCTTGCTGGCTCTAATGAGTGCATCAAAAACTGGAATGACTTTAGGTTTTCATACAGGGCACCTTCTACTAGTCAAAGCAATTTTTGTGTTACATTGGATACATCAGTCTTTTATTTCTGCCGAAGAAGAAAGGCTCCAAGAGTTCAAGGAAAGCCCTTTCCTTTTGTTATGGGGAGTTAGGCCGCAGGGTTACCATCATTCCTTTTGAAATGAAATCTGTTAGAAACAGGAAGATTGCTCCCTTTATCTTGATGTACACATTTTCCATCTCAATTAATATACTCTATAGTTTCAGGTCATAGATTCTTGGCCTATCTGTGTGTTTGTGGGAGAAGGTTGAGGGCAGAGGACGGAGGTTTATATGGCTTATCGGTTGTATTCTTCTAGTCTCAGCATCAGAATTCACTGAAGCATGTTCAGCAGGAAAAAGATGTTGCTTTTTCAGCTCATTATAAAAAGAGGCATGCATATTTATAAAAAGTATTGCATGTACAGGGCCCCAAACCCCTTGCCTTAATACAGAAAACCAAATGATGTTTCATGCGGGGACAGTCTATTATGGATCCATTCTTACTGGAAAAGAAACAGGGGTTGGTTACTTTCAGACAATTTTTTCTGAAAACACACCTGTTGAGCAAGACCAGGGGTCCTCAAACTATGGCCCGTGGGCCACATGCAGCCCACCAAGGACATTTATCTGGCCCGCTGGGTGTTTTTGCCACCGCTGCCTGTCCTGCTTAGCAGCCGACTCGTCCCGGGCCCACAGTGCGCATGTGTGGAATGGTCGGCCACACTCTCCAACTACCCTCCAATGGTCTGAGGGACAGTGAACTGGTCCCCTGTTTAAAAAGTTTGAGGACCCCTGAGCAAGACGATGATCATGACATTGGAAGATTATCTTTAACGTGCAAGGAAAGCAAAAATAATCAAAAAATCATTAACACAGATGAGAATGCTAGAAAAGCAGTGACCACAAAATACACATTGGTTATGTTTCAAACCTTATTTGGGTGAGGAAACAACAATGAAGTGATAAGGACCAAGGTAAGACTCTCTGTTGACACAGAGGATAGCAGCATCTGAGGTGAAAGGGCCTGTGCCTGTCTCATTCCTTACTTACGGGACATAATTCGTGCTTCTCAGTTTCCTCAAGACTCGAATTTTCTCCCCAGCCCTGCACTCAAAGGTTGCTTAGAAATATGGCTGAGGAAAACTTGTTACCAGTGGTTCAGTCACTATAGTGCCTGGATTTTATTCTACCCTCTTTTATTCTTTTGTGTTCTGGTACAGTATTGCCTTGTGTATATCAGTGTATATTTGTATTTATTGTGTCATTGAATTTGATAGGGTTTTTCAAATTGAAGGCCTCAGAGCTTGCCTAGGATTTGTGAGACGCATTTCACCAAGAAAGTTGGGCTGCAGATATTTGAAGCGTTATTGAGTTTCTTTTCATATTTTAATATAGAATGAGTTCAGAATGTCTGGAATCTATTCCTTTCTATTCATTGATCTTGAGATGAAAATAACAGCTAATACTTTTGGAGTGCTTTCTATGTGTCAAACATTTTGCTAAGTGCTTTGCGTTTCATCATTCAATTTTCACAACTATCTTATGAAGTTGTTACTATCATTATCATTATTTTACAGATGAAGAAACTGAAGCACAGGGTGATGATGAAGTAATATGTGCATCACTAGGAAGTGGAGGGGTGGGGTGCCCAGGACTCAAATACAGACAGTCTGGCTCCAAAGTCTCATACTAGACAACCATGTCACTTCTCATGTTCACTCTATACCTGGGCATTTATGTATTTCTTGAGCAAACAAGAAAATATTATCCTCTTGAAGAGAAAATGTCTGCTGCAGTGTGGATACATCAGGACATGGGGCTTGCGTTAGGAAACATGCTCGTAGGGCCATCCTCACTGGGAAGCCTAAAAATTTCTGTGACCCCTGCCACTCTCAGCCTGGTCCAGGCCACCACGATCTTTTGTCGGGATTGGTGCAATGGGCCCTACTTCTACCCATGTCCCCGTCCCCTGTCTGTTCTCAGTGCAGCAGCTAGAAATTAACGCCTCCATTCAGCACCTTCTAACAGCTGCCTGTTCCACTTAGGACAAAAGGCAAAGTCCTTCCAGGAACCCGTGTGATCTGTGCCCTCCCCATCACTTTTTTTATTACTCCCCTCCCTGCCTCCAACCCCCCCACACCCAGCCCCTACTGGCCTCTGTGCTTCTCCTGCCTCAGGGCCTTTGCACCCTGTGGCCACTGTGTTGGAAGTGCTCTGCCCCCAAAGTTCTCCCCAACATTGCAGCTCCTCCCCCACCAGTTCTCCATCCTTCTCCCTGCATTATTTTCCCCTTAGTGTTTATAATGACCTGCTATTCCATCAGTTTCACTAATTTCTTAGTGTGTTCTCTGTCTCTGAACACTAGAGTGAACATTTTATTTTTTGTCTGCTTTCTTCCCTAGTTGAGAATCCAGTGGGTGTTTAACAAATTGACTAAATAAATAAATGAGTGCATTATGGAGTTGTTTTGGATAATTAAATTAACTAGCATATAGAAATCATTTAGAATGAATAGTGCTTAGTATAAAATTAGTGTTTAATAAATGTCAGGTATTAATAAAATAATGTAATAGTTATTGAATGCATGATTCACTGAAAAGTTATATACTATTACTTCATCATGTAGTGGAAAGAGGATAATCAAGCTACAGATGTTTTAAGTATTTTAATGTATATTGGCAATGGATGCCAGAGGAAATGTTCAGGAACATCATTTGTGTTCTTTTTTCTTATTGTCTAGAAGGCACACTATAACCTACCCTTTCCTGGGCATGTAAGTGATTGTCAAACTTTGCTGCACTTTGGAATCACCTGGAAATCTTTTAAAAATTTATCCTGGTTCTCAACCCAAGATATTCTGATGTGATTGGTCTGGGGTGTAACCTGGGCATTAGGATTTTTTATTGCTCCCCAGGTGATTGTAATGTGCAGCAAAGGTTGGGAATCACTGCCTTAAGCTTTTCACACAACTGGCAACAGCAAGGAGAAAAAGCCTTCCTCGATCTCTCTCTGTGCTTAGAATTGAGAGTTAAGCCAACCTCAGTTCTATAACATGTGTGACCATTGGCAAGTCACTTAGCTTCAACAAGCTTGACCTTCCTTTTTATATGTCTGCTGTGGGTGATGGTGAAAACTCGGAACTTAGGGCCAGGCTCCAAAAATGTGGATTCCCTTTTGTCCCTCCCTCCCTTCCTCCCTTTCTTCCTTCCTTCCTTCCTTTCTTCCCTGCCCTTTCTTCCTTCTTTCCTTCCATCCTTTCATTGTTTCATCTGGAGATAAAAGCAGAGAATTATTTCTAGATGTAGCTCAAGAACCAAGAACAACATGCTCTGAGATGGCACTTTCTTACAGAGGAGACAAGAGAACCAAACAGTGGTCACCATGCCTAGGTGGCCTCATGCTCCCCCAGTTGCACCCAGCCATACCTATTTTAGGCCCAGAAGGGATCAATGTCAGAAGGTCAAGTTCCTGCCCAGTGGGGAGCACCATGGGAGTGTCAGAGGTCCTCCTGCTGTCCTGGCTTTCAGCCCTGGCTTTCCCACCTCCTCCCTGTGTCTCTGTCCCTCCTGCCTGAGACCCTGTCTGAGGCTCCTGCCCTGGTCACTAGGCCTTACTATGCACTGGTTTTGATGGTTCACTCAGGGTCTTGAATTCTGTCTTCTAACTGTCAGACTTCTTCTTGTGATCTGCTGTGTACCTGAGGTCTGCCCCCCTCTCTTCATCCATCCCAAGCATGTCTACAACCCTCTAAGGCTATTTCTCAGCATATCAGTTATAACTTGGCAGTTTTCCACAAAGAAATACCTTTATTCAAGTATTAAGAACCTACTATATGCCAGACACTGTTCTCGGTACCTGAGATAAATCATTGAATAAAACTAAGTTCCTTATTCTCACTATACCTGTAAAAGAAAAAAATTTTTTTTAATTAAAAAAATAAGTTTCTTGCTCTCACAGAGTGTGCGTTCTATTGTAGAGAGTAAAACAATAAAAATAAGCATAAAAATAAGTATACAGTTGGCCCTTGAATAACACAAGAGTTAGGGGCACCAACTCAGAACACACTCAGAAATCTGCATATGACTTGATGCTCCCAAACGTAACTACTAATAGCCTTACCAATAGCATAAATAGTCGATTCACACTTATTTTTATATGCATTATATACTGTATTCTTATCATAAACTAGAGAAAAGAAAATGTTATTAGAAAATTATAAGGAAGAGAAAATATATTTACTTTTCATTAAGTGGAAGTGAATCATCGTAAAGGTCTTCATTCTTATCTTCATGTTTGAGTATGCTTAGGAGGAGGAGGGAGAAGAGGGGGTGGTCTTGCTGTCTCAGGGGTGCCAGAGGTGGAAGAAAATCTGCATGTAAGCGAACCCATGCAGTTCAGACCTGTGTTGGTCAAGGATCAACTGTATCGTACAGCATGTTAGTAGGTGACTAGTCCTATGGGGAAAAAAAAAGAAGTAGAAGAGAATAAAGGGAATGGGGGTGTGGGAGAGCAGGGTTGCAATTTTAAAATGTATGGCCAGGATAGTCCTTTTTAAGGTGGTCATATGTGAGCAAAGCCTTGAAAGAGGCAAGGGTGAGCCATGCGGATATCTGCAGGATAAGCATTCTGGGTTGGAGGAACAGCCAATGCAAAGGCCTAAAGCAGAAGTGGGTCAACAAGGAGGCCATGACAGAAGCATGACTATGGGTCTCCCCACATCCTTCCCACTCTCTACCTAACAGAGAATAGGTTTTGAAACCAGAGAGATGTGATTGCCAGGCCAAGGCCTACTACATTCATTAACGCCTCGTTTCTCTTGTGTGTGCTTTTTCCACAGTCACATGACACAAGCAATCCCATTTGACGACCCTCGGTTAGAGAGCTGCCAAATCATCCCTCCAGCTCCCCGCAAGGTGGAGATGAGGAGGGACCCTGTGCTGGGATTTGGCTTTGTGGCAGGGAGTGAAAAGCCAGTGGTTGTTCGCTCGGTAACACCAGGTAAGCACCCAACCCCAGTTCTTGGTCTCCAGGGACCACTTGCCACACCCTGCCAGAATGACTACTGTTCAGTTTCATAAGGTGTCCAGGCTCTGAAGGCTAGGTGAGTTTTTCTAACTTCTGGATAGAGTGAGACCACCTGAGAGACAGAATTGGCTCCTCAAACTAGGTTTCAAACTGCCAAATCCATCATATCACTTGACTCAAGAAAATACTGAGCCATCATTTGTAACCATGGAAATGACCCACTTCTTAACATATGAATACAAGCAATAAAAGGCAGGCACTGTGCTGTATTACAATAAACTCATGAAGAATTCCTTAGTGGAGAAAAGCAGGAAGTAGTATTTAAGTTACAGTAGAATTTAGTCATCAGGGTGGTTGGATTATTTTTACAAATATGCACTCCCCTTCCTTCCCACTAGGAGAGAATACATTTCCCTACCTCCTGACTTTGGCCAATGGCATATTAGCAAAGACAACGTGAGCAAGGGTTTGAGATGTGCTTGTGCAGTTGAGCTTATTTCCTGGGCTTCTGCCATGGCCATAGAAGAGAGTTTTCCCCAGGTGGCTGCTACCCCTTCCACCTTAGCCTCAGAATGAACACATGTAGCAGGAAGCCTGCAGCTGGGAGCTAAGTGCAGCCTATCTGCAGTTTGAAAGAAAACCACCCAGCTGAGCCTAGCCTAAATCAGCCAGTCTGCGATCACCCTGAAGACCCATAAGTATAAGAAGAAATGATCACTGAACACTGTACTGAGTTTGGGGGTAGTTTGTTATACATCAAACTCGTACTGATACAGTACTTGTCAAGTTGCTTAAATTCTACAATATGACCAGATAATTAATGTATTAGGACATACAGATGTTCTACTGTCAACGCAGTTGAATACCACAGACTACGATGCAATCACCTAAAGTGGGCTGCTTTTGCCTTTCCAGAAATGTGCTTTATATTATCTATTTATTATATATATGTATGTGCTTACTATAATATACTTGTATTGGATTTATTTTCAGACAAAAGGAAATTTTCTTCCATGCTGTTTCTTTCCAGGATTTTGCAAATCAGTAACAGTGTTCAGTAGTAAAGTACTGCACTTAAGAGCACAGACTCTGGCATCAGACTGCCTGAGTTTGAATCCTGCCTCTACCCCTTTTTAGACTTTGTAGCTTTCATGTTAACTCTCTTACATCAGCTTGATGTAACTTCTCTATATCCTCTATATAATGGGGATCATAGTAGTATCTATAATACTTTATAAGACTATGGAGAGGATGCAATAAGTTAGAAGAGTGCCAGGCATGTCCTGATCATTTCATAGATGATGATTATTATTATTAAACTCTAAAATATTTGATCAGTTGAGTCTGTCAATTAAGGGAGACAAAAGTCAACTAGTGACCTGGTATAGATCTTTCCCCTGATGCCCTCATACCCCACTTTTTAAAAAATTTTATTAAAAATTTTTTTCTGGTATAGATTTTTAAAGTTGATTTAATTTTTCCTTTTTCATTATTTTGACATAATATACCCCAGAGCAAGCACCACAAATAATTAACCACTTTAGACTTGTGCTGAACAGAATGTGTCCTTTTCATTCCTATCATTGTCTCACCATGCAACTTCTTACTCTGTCAGCTGAGCTTTTTATTTCATTAAATGTAGATCATATTTTAGTTCTCTGTGTGGGATTATTAAGCTTGACACAATTGAGAATTTTATGCTCAAAATAGATTTGTTGCCTTTTATGATAATAAAATAATACATATGCTTTGTAAAAAAATATAAACAATGTAGATAATATAAAGGAGAAAGTAAAATATATATATATGTATATATATATATCACCTGAACTCCTACTACTAGGAGATAGCCATTATTGCCATAGACATAGAGAGAATATGTGTAGTAGACAACTCTGTACATATACAAACACATATGTATTATATATCATATAATGTATTATCTATGTGTGTATGTGTATATACACATATTTTTTCCTAAATGGAATCATATTTGGCATGCTGTTTTATAATATTGGGATATTTTAGCATCTCTAATTATGAGATTCTCCAAAGTATGTCCTCCTGGAAGCTGAAGCTGACTGGAGATTCAAGTCTTGTTTTTCACTTTCTTGTACCATCTCACTGTTCTTTCAACCTCTTTCCCTTCTTTGCCCTCAATTCTCCTTAGCTTCAAAGACACTAACACCTACTGTTAGACAATTTTGAGAAGAGTATAATAAAAGTGAAGGCAGAGGTCAAAGAGTATTACTTCCAGTTATTTTTATGAGTGAAAATACTGGTCAAATAAACTGTGTCTATCATAAAAATGACTCTACTGAAGTCCCAAGGGATTTCAGTGGTATGAACATATTTTCTATACTACATAATCCAATCTTCAGAGTAAAAAGCAGAAGACAATTTTCTGAAATGTGGCACTGTTTCATATTTTGGAAGGGACTGTGTGTTGCTTCTTCCAGAATTCTTGATTAAAGTTGTTTGATTAAACAAGAATTAATCAAAATATTTTGATCAATTTTTATTTGTTGAAAAAACATAGGTCAAATGTAAGAATATGTTCTGTTAATCTGAGAGTGGTTTTCTTATTAGAATAGTTAACATTCATCCTCCAAACAGTTACTTTGAAAATTGTTCTGTAGTTGACTAGCATTTGATTTCTAACTATTTGTTTGGCTGAATTTGAGTGACTGTTTGCACGTAATTCAATAGTTACAGTAAGTTTCCTAAGTGATTTTTCTGAATTCCTTATGTGTGTAAATGCTGAATCTCGGTTCTCATATCTGTGAAATGAATATTTTCTATCACTAATATGGGGAGATGTTAAGGTTTTTCTACTCTTACTCCCCAAAAAGAAGACAAACTTGTGCTACAACTTGAGTGACACAAACACCAACTATCTGGGTGAGTAGAGAACAACTGAATTATTCAGTTCCATGTTCTGGGTATGAAGTATTCATTTTCATTACTAAATAAAGTAATACCAATAATATTTAAAAGATAATATTCCAGAAGCACCTGTCACCCAGTGGCAAACCTGTGGAAATAAAGTTAAAATTGTACTACTCTATAGTAGCATATAAATATTTGGGAGATAATTGCACATATCTAGAGCATAATCCAGGTTATTGATTTTAGATTTTACTTAAATACAGACATATGCTTCACACAGTTTATGTGTTAGGACACCTGGAAGAGACCAGGTTTTGAATTATGGGGGCAAGTGCAAAAGACATGTTGGTCATTCTGAACTTGGAAGAGTCCAAGCTGAGATTTAGTGCTACCTTCCAGCCAATTCTTTAACCTGTGTGAGCCTCATTATATGAAAGGGATTATAGTTTTCAGTGAGGTTACTAGCCAAAGCATTTAGCCCATTGTCTAATAAACTCAACAAATATTAGTTTCCTACTCCCTCCTTGGAAACAACTGAAAGAGAAAAGCAGCTGTTCACATCTGGGGGCTGGTGAGCCCTCACAGCTGGATCAGGCTGTCCCTGTGAACATGAACAATCACCAAATATCAACAACAGACAAGGCCATTCTGTGACCATGATGTATTGACACAAAAATAAGACTCCTCTATAATCATATTGTGAGCACAGACACAAACATCCAAGCACAGCCCAAACCACAAAAATATGCAGGCACACCCCCTCCCAGCTGATATGAGTGACTGCTGCTGCTTTATCAATCACAGGTTGCTCTGCTTCCTCCCTCTCACCTTTTAGGCCATTATTAAGATGCTCATGGTAGAATTACCTCCCACTTCCTCTTGGCAGCTAATCCATGGAAAACCCCCACTTCCTTGAACCCACCCCAAAAGCACCTACCACAAGGCCAAGTCTTATAAGAAGCCCTTTCTAACACCCTCTTATTGAGATGTCTTACATTTGCCTGCAGTATGCTGCCTCCTTACTTGTAATGAGTACACAAATGCAACTTTGTTCAAATCCAGCTGTGCCCAAGTGGTTGCAGCCTTGGCTACAGGATATCAGCACAACTGATTGGCTACCTGTTGGGAGAATACCTTCTTCTAGGGACTCACCACACAAAGTATGATCCATTGACCAGCAGCAGCAGCAGCCCCTGAGAGCTTGTAAGAAGTGCATTCCCTCACCCTGCACCCTGCATGGAAATTAGATCCCCAGGTGATGCATAAGTGCGATAAGGTGTGGGAAGTGAGTCTAGTGAGGCTAGTGAGTCTCAACCTTGCCTGTGATGTTTTAGAAAAATGTGGATGCCTGGGTCCCACCCTTAAAGATTCTGATTTAATTGGTCAGGGTGCAGCCTGGGCCCATTGTCCACAGAACACTCAGGTGTGATTGAGTTTTGTTCCTGCTGATAGCTCCATTTGCTCACAGTGAATCATGATCAGGAGAGGAGGCTTCTGATGGGTTGCCAATGGTCTTCTCACCTGCATTTCATTCTCTTTTGTTTCCAGGTGGGCCCTCAGAAGGCAAGCTGATCCCGGGAGATCAGATTGTAATGATTAATGATGAGCCGGTCAGCGCAGCGCCCAGGGAGCGGGTCATCGACCTAGTCAGGTAGGTAACTCATTCACTTGTGGCAACTGTACAGTTCTCAGCCCTATCCGGCAGAGGAAGAGCTTCCTGTGGGCCAATTTAGAGCAGAAACACAAACCTACACGTTCACGTCATTAAAAATGCTGCTGACATTAACCTCTGATGTAAAAACCTATGATTCATAAATACAAAATGCCTAAATGTTCACTGTGTTAACACTGAATGTGCATATCGTTTAGCTTAAAATTTTTATGACTCTTACATCCAAAGGTTACATTTTCTTTCCTTCCAGAATTACTAATTACTAATTTTTGATTTTCCATAATCAAGCAGATCAAAATGTAATACCTGAATTCAGTGTAAGTGATGAGCAATTTTATGTACATAATCCCATGAATATACCAACATACAGTTCACTGATTTTTCATATTTGACTGAGTAATTCATTACTGAATTTTGAGATTATCAATGGAGGCAAAAGGATAATTTAGGTCAAGGCTAGGACAGTTAAAACAATGCACTTGGCTTATTGGTTTAGTTGTATTGTACATGTAATTGGTTTGTTATGTTATATTCTTAATGGGGAACCAGAAAATGTATCTTATGTGATGTTACAAACATTGGTCAACACATGTACTCACCAGCAAATTGGTATTAATGGAGCAACACCTAAGTGGACATATAGGAATAACATTTATCAGATGTCGGGTGGGTGTGAGGGGGGAGGAGGGGATGGGTATATACAAACACAATGAATGAGATGTGCAACATTTGGGGGATGGTCACACTTGAAGCTCTGACTCGAGGGGGGTAGGGGGGGCATGGGCAACATACGTAGCCTTAACATTTGTACCCCCATAATATGCTGAAATAAAAAATATATATATTGGTCAAGAATCCTCTTAGAATTCCACTGAAGTTACCCTTCTTCAGTGAATTTAGGGCAAAATGGATCTTTAGAAGTTTTTCATATGAAGCTAGGCCTATCATATGAATGGATCCACTCATGCTATAGAGATGTTGAGGAATAAGAAGATGTGGCATTTGTCTTTTATAAAATGATCTTTTCAACCAAGATTGAAGCAGAAGCTGAGGCTATCAGAATACTTTAAACTGAGAAGGGAATCTCCTAACATCTGTGTTCACTCATAACAAAAAGTACATCTGTACATTGGGAAAAGCATTAAGTAGAATATTTCTGGGGTCTTCTGGAAAAAGTTTTTTTCCCAAGCTTAGTTCAGCTTTTGCTTCACAAAGAAGTTCTGGATGGTCAAACATTCTTGGAAGAACTAGAAGAGGGGCAAAAGGGCAGAGAAATAGAAAGAAAGGGGGCTTATTTTTAGGGTGACCAGCCATTCCAGTTTTAGCACTTAAAAGGCCCACATCCCAAGGAAACTCCCTTAGTCCTGGAATGGTTGGTCACTGCTATGGTATGAATGCTGGTGTCCCCTCCAAATCTATATGTTGAAACCTAATACCTGATGTGATAGTGTTAAGAAGTTGGACCTTTGAAGTAGTGATTAAGTCATGAGGTCTTGCTCTCATGAATGAGATTAGTGCCCTTATAAAAGAGGTTGAAGGCAGCTGCCTTGTGCCTTCTACGATGTAAGCACACAGTGAGAAAGTGCTATGAGAAGAGGGACCTTCACCACACACTGAACCTGCTGGTGTCTTGATCTTGGACTTTCCAGCCTACAGAGCTGTGAGATATAAATTTCTATTATTTATAAATTACTGAATGCATTTTATAGCGGTCCAAATGGACTAAGATAGTCAATCTACTTTAGTCTGCGCCTAATATAATGAAGCCTTCCAAGCTGGCTGGAAAAGTCAGACCTGTACTCATGGGGCATCCAAATTTCCAAAAAATGGTGTTAACACTCAGCAGGAACTGTGACTTGTGTCATATTCACCGTGCATCAGGAACAAGACCTGGAAACATTTCTGATCTTTCTGTGGACCAGGAATGCAAGAATAGGAAAAGACTCTACATTTTAGAGCCTTTGGGCAGGAGCTGCAATGTTACCATTTGGAATCAAGATGTGTGTGGGTGTCAGCAGGGACATATCTCATCCAGGCAGGCTCTGAGTTTTATATCAGCTTGCATCCTGGAGTGCCGTGTTTGGACCCGATGGCAAAAGTCCCATGGACATTTTGTTTTCCCCTAGGCACACACCTCTGTGATCAGTCCTATTGATTTCTGCACCCGGAGGATTATAGGAGAAATAAAATATCTGTATTTGGGTTTGCTGTGACTGAATTACCTGCCGCAGGACAGAGACAGAGAAAAAGCTATTTAAAAGTGTGATCATTTCCCAGCAATCCTTCCAGGGGCATTTAGAAAGATTTTTTTTTTTCCAAGGATGATTTTTTTTCCCTTCTGGTTTAACACATTGTAGAAGAAAATGACATCTCTGTAAACAAAGAACTCTCTATAGAACTTTATAAATAATGGAATAAATGAACCAGTTAAAAGAGGGGTGGCACACAATAGCTTGAAGTCCGAATCTAGCTCGCCCCATGTTTTTCCAAAGCATGTCAGCTGAAAAAGGTTTTTACCATGTTTAAAGGGTTGAAAAAATAAAAGAATAACATTTTGTGACACATGAAAATCATATGAAATTCAGATTTCAGTATCTATAAATATTCATTGAAGTATAGCCATGCCCATTCATTTGCATATTATCTATGTCTGCTTTTCTGCTATAACAGCAGAGTTGAGTAGTTGCAACAAAAACTGTCAAGCTCACGAAGTCAGAAACACTGGCCCTTTTTAGACAACATTTAATGACCATAACCATTGCTTTAAGAGATATCTAGGTAACCAATTACATTTGGTTAAGCCATATTTAGACAAAAATCCTATGTAATATACATACAGAATTTTCTCAAAATGAAGTTGTAATCCCTGCATTATTCCCACATGCTTGATAAAAAGATTGTGGTGTTTTAAATGGATTGAAACCTTTTCACTCTCATTAAACCAAAATTTTGAAATATTGTATTTCTCACTAATGAAAATGATTATGTATTAGAAAATTTTCCTATGCCTTCCCATAAGTTTAGTCATCTATCTGCCATAATGCTTACTAACGTAAAAATTTAGCTCTTGGAAAATAATCCCCTTTTTACTGGGCTCCTCAGCTGATATGTGTTTTAATGTCTATATCTTACACAAGATAAATTCCCTTCCTGTATAATAAAAAATATCCCATTTTCTTAGTCACTGAGGACATTCAGAAAAATACTCGTCATTTTAATAACATTATAAAATTCTCTCTTTAAAAATTGGCATCCATTTGCTTGCCTTAGTGGTTTAGTCTTGTTTTGTTCTTTTTCCCCTCATTATAGCATTTACTCTTATATCATTTTTTTGTTTCCAGATACATTTGTGTTTCTTTGTGGATTATTTTCCTTATCATTTGGTTACTCTATTATAGAAATTTATTTTTTTTCTTGAGAAAATGAAAGAGTTTCTTAGAGACCAATTTACTGCTATAGTAACCACATTTTGGTTTTTTCATGTAGTCTCAAAAAGCTATAATTGCCATACTGAAATTAGATGAGTTCTGTTCATTTCATAGTTTTCTAAGTTGTTAACTCTAACTCATGCTTTATAATGTATGAGGAGTAAAATCTTTGAAGAATCCATGCCCTTTGCAAAATTACCATATCTTTCTTCTTTAAAAATATCCAAGGATAATTTTCTTTGGCTTTTCATAATTAGACAAATTAACTTAAAGCGATCTCCAAAGTTTTATTTTTAAAAAGTAGGGAGTATTATTGCTCATAGAAACATTATGAATCTTGCCACAGTCCCCCAAGGGTAGCCAACCCAGTTAAATTCATTTTACTTTAACAAACAATCATTAAGCATTAACAAACATCATGTAAGACACTGGGCATGTATAGATACATAGGCATGATTCCTGCCCTCAAAGAGGAGACTTCTAATCAATTGCACTATATTTATGACTGGGCAAGGCTGTTGGAGAGGATAGTGTTTGATATGAATGTTTGAAAATAGACAGGTATATTAGGAGATATTAGTGATGGTGGTAAAGAGTAGCCAACAATGCTGAATGGAAGGGCAGGTTAATGCATAGGGAGAGGGTGATAAAATAGATCTTTCCTTTGTCCTTGTCAACCTCAGACCTTCCTGATGGAAGAAATGGAGAAAAAGCTTTCCAACCTACACATACGGAAAAACCTGTTGACTAAGTGGCTATCCTGGAACACAACCTCAAAATTTGGTCCACAAGGCACCAACATATATCTACTGTCTCCTGTTAGAATGGATGTATCAGCCTTTTGCATTAGAGATCCATTTGAGAATCTGATAAATGCCATGGACTTCTTCCTTTATCCAGAAAACTCCACATGTGTACAAAATTCTGCATATAATAGAATATTTCTTGATTTCCCCTAAAGCCAATCCCAGTTTTAAAGCCCTGGCAGCAAACTGTGAAAATGCTGTCTCCTTTCCTCCCGCTTCCTCAGTATCAGAAACTGACTTTGAAGAGACAAGCACATAAACAACTCAGTCTTATCCTTTTTCATCACAGCACTGGAAGTAAAAAGTTGTCCACTGCATAATCGGAAGGTACAAAGATTGAACTGGAGACTAATACCCTCTTCTCCCACCCTCTGTAATAGGGCAGCTATCTATCCCTCCATATGCTTTCTCCCATTACCTAAGTTGATTATTCCTGCTGATCTAATTGATGAACAGTGCTGTGGCTATGGCCATTTATCAACAGAAGGTTGCTCACATCTATCAGACCTGTCACTCCTTCTATACTAATATCCTGTGATTAGAGAACTTTCCTGGGGAGCAGTAGTATTCTTCCAATAAGGAAGTAACTGTAATAAGAAATAAGAATAAATCATAGGGGAGTGACATCAGTAAGGTGGCTAAATAAGAGGTCCCCTGCTGGCATCCCCCACAGCAACTATAATTTTGCAGCCATCCATGAACTAAAGTGCCTTTGTGGGAGATTTAGCATCCAGGTAGGAAGCTG